AAAGAGGAACTCTTGACGAATTCAAATCATTACGTTCAATTGCTTTTCATATTACTTTCCATCCCTGCATGCACATTATAATCTCATCACGCCCAATAGTAGTAAAGAATGGTAAATTTCGCCGTTTTTAAAAATCAGAAAGTTGAATGTAAAGTCTTTCTCATTAGAGGAATTCCCGAATCTACGAACCCCATTCTTCACTACCCCACGCGTTCACCTCCCATTGGCTTTCACAACTATTGGAAAAAAACAGCCAATGGCTTGGATATTTACGTTTATCATGAGCGATCTGGCGAAACTGGTTTGTTAGCACAGTGCCTACACCTGGGAGAATTAACTTGCAAACAGTGTGTTGCCGCCATCACTGTTTAAGTATAAATGGTCAATTTCATGGCAGTGACAAAATATTACATAATGATCATAGACAGTAATTACATCTTAATGAATAAATATCTTGACATTCAGTGAGTAAAAATAAAACATGTTTACCAGTTCAGTAATTGCTTGTTAACCACACTAACTGTCCTCTCTTCAACCAGCCACTGCATTTGAAAACAAGAACTCTTGCTTAAATCAGTGTTGTAATACATCCCTAAATTTAAGAACTTTTCAGACTTTTAAGACTCATAGCAATTGCCTGTTAAGACCTGGAGCCACTTGTCACTAAATACAGACTTCCCTAAATGTGTAAGCCTATTGTTGCATCAGTGACCAAGATAATTAATTCATCCCAAGATTTTTACACAGCCTATCAACCAGCAAAGATCAAGGTCTAATGTTGTTTATCTTACATGAACAAAGATTTGGGCAAATGCAAGACATTTTAAGATCTCGGACAGAAAAAGGTTTTAATACTTTTTAAGGCTTTAAATTTCCAAAAAACAGTTTAATTAAGATATTTCTAGACTTTTTAAGGATGCACCAGAACCCTGATATATAAAGTAAATAGAGGCAGTATATAGCTAACCAATAAGTCTTTAAAAAATAATTATTTTGCAAATGCACATTGCTTCATATTAGAGAAAATAAATTTTCAGAATATGCTGAGAAAATGGTGAGAGATCACAGTAATCAGTTCTTTTGCATAACAATATTTCTGAAAAGCTGATACTTTCATACTTTGATACGACTTAGGCATCAACTTAAAATCAAAAGATATGAAAACTTTAAAAAGAAAAAGAAAAAGAAAAAGAAAAAGAAAAAGAAAGAGAAAGAGAGAGAGAAAAAGAAAGAGAAAGAGAAAGAGAGAGAGAAAGAAAGAGAAAGAGAGCAAGAAAGAGAGAGAAAAAAAAGAGAAAGAGAGAGAGAAAAAGAAAGAGAAAGAGAGAGAGAAAAAGAAGAGAAAGAGAGAGAAAAAGAAAGAAAAGAGAGAGAGAGAAAAGAGAAAAGAGAGAAAGAAAGAGAGAAGAGAGAGAGAGAGAGAGAAAGAGAGATAGATAGACAGAGAGAGAAGAGAAGATAGATAGGATGACAGATGGATAGATAGAGAGATGGAGAGCAAAACATGGTGAAAGGACAGGAATGTAGTATTCTGCCTTGAACTAAATATAAAGCTCTCATTGGATATAAGAACAAATGATAGTTTTATGTACACTTTATTTGTGAATATACACAAAAATCCCTTGATGTCATAGTTATGAACTGTTGCCTTGTACTACATCGGAATACTTACCTATGTTGTATCTTTTCAGATATGATTGAACGTAATCTGTTATACTTGTTGAAGACATTTTGTCATGATAGCTACTCTCTTAAAATATCCTTTACAAAGTTCATCATAATACTCTAGCATTGCCTTTCTCCAGGACTCAAGAATTTGAACATGTATTAAATACTTACTTTTGTACGTTACCAACTGATACTTGACGAGGTAAAGTTACTTGGCATGAAAAATACTTCAATTAGATTTAAATGTCTTGCTGAAAATTCAGTCACCACTGTCAGTTACTTCTGAAAAAATATAGTCCCTATTTACACAATGATACCAAACCATTTAAAAACAAAGTGCATGGAAGATTGTGTCCTGAAATCTGCTACATTTGACACAAACTTGCAAAGTTTAGCTAGAAAACTATATAATAAACTTTGTATAAAAGTACATACATAACACTGTCTCTGCCATATTCTGATATGAAAAGGATAAGTTGAGGAACATTTGATGTCAAACAAACATGCTTTGAATAATCACAAATATAATAGCTTGTCTTTGTACATTATCCTATAAGCAAGAGCATAACCAGTAGATATACTGATGAAGTACCAATTAAATTTTCTTAAGAACTAACAAGAACTCTATCTACACACATCCAATATCAATATTCTCAATGAATATTTATACAAGCCAAGATTTACAGTACCTGTGATCAGAGTAAACAGAATGAGCAATTTTCACATTAGCTTATTTTGGTTTCGATATTCAAGTGTTAAAATCAAACCTCAAACTTCTAACAATATTCCGAATATATATGCAAGAAGCTGCAATCAAATAAGAATGGAATTTTCAGAAACATCATTCCAATGTTTATATTCTGAGACATACTAATTAAAGAGAAACACAAATTTCTTTAAAATGATTATTTCTTGAAAAAAGAGAGAGAAGGAGAAGGAGAGGGAGAGGGAAGGGAAGGAAAAAAGAGAAGAAGAGAGGAGAGGAGAGGAGATAGAAAAACAAAATGTACATTTGAAGACTGGATCATGACAAAAGTCTTATTTACAAACTTAGCAAATACTCCACAAAGCTCTCTTTCTCTATTAAAGAGTAATATTGGCTTCGGCCTGAAGTTATTTTCCTGAGGCCAAGGGGCACTTCACGTCGCACCCTTGCATGATGATACGAAACAGACTTGATATCTTTGGAATGGTCCTGAATATGGATATCAGGTAATCTGGCACCCAGACTGGTGTTGTCACTGAGAATCAGACGAAGAGGAGGAAGAGGAATCTGAGCTCATAACCTCAACGTCCTCTTGCTCTTTCTTTTCCACCACTGCTGTATGGCCTCCCATGTGAACCTGCAAGTCTCCTGACGGCTGCCAGCTGAAAGTTCCTCCAATGCCTGCTGAAGTTGGCTCTGGAAAATGGATAACATAAGGTAATGCTTATAGGCAGTCAGCAGGCAAAGCAACACATCTTTTTATCCTTTATCGTGTAAAGTTATTGTCTGGTTGACTCCTAGGATGTTCAAAATAAAAAGTTTAACTTCCATTTTCTTGGTTCCATACCTATAAGACCTATATTGGCATCAGAATGCACATGCAGAGTTTGAAAGCAATCAATTAAATAACTATAATATATGAACCACCCTAACCGTACACTGACAAAGCATAATTTTCTGTGTGTCAATTGTTGAGGTGAATACTGGCATCCATCCAGCTTTTCCAGCAGGGGATTTGCTGTGTAAAGCAGGACTGTCCACTCACTCACTACAGCAAGCCATGTCGTGTATACATGTTTCTCGGGAAAATGGTAGGATGTCCATGATGGTTATGGGCATGCCCGTGAGTAAGACGTTAATGGGCTGCATATTTCCCAGGGCAATTTTAATGGAATACAGGTTGTGGTGTGACATGATGTATCCTGAGGCAACCCTCGTAAAGTTTATGTTTATTTTACTCACTTAAGTCTTTCTATTTTGCTTGCTTCGTTTTCTTCAAATGGTGCTCAGTGGTCTATAAAAATATCACGTATATTAAAACAACAATCAAATGAATGTCAACAAATCACCAGGCATTTTTTTCACAATTAATTTTTACATGTTTGTGTTTAGTTAATAACTACCATGTCTTGTATTTTTTATTTCATTTTCCATATAATATCATTCGTGTTACAGATTCATAACTAAGTTGAAGCTGAATAGTTTTGAAGGACCTAGTCATGCTGGTCCATACCATGTAAGGAGGACCTGGTCATACTGTTTATAAGCCCTCACTCCAAGTGTAGACTATTAGAGGAATACTACATAAAATCAATTCACAAATTCTGCCATGACTATTACACTTAATTTCTCTTTATTTTGATAATTTACAGCAGTAATGAGAATACCGAGCTCACTGAACACCACATGAGACCCAACAATAAATGGAAATTTTACTGAAGGCATGAAGGCTAGCAATGTAATTTTTTTTTTCTATAATTTCCCGCAGTGATGAGAATAACTAGATCACTGACCACCACATGAGAGTCAATAAAAATAGAAAGATTAGTGAGAGACATGAAGGCAATGTAGGACAGCTCTATAGGCACCTACAACACCACACCTGGCCCTTGTAAATATCTTGCCAGAAAAATACCCCATCCACTGAAATAGCTAGCAGATTTTTTTATTCATATTTGATTGCCTTCAAACTTTCTATGGTGTATTCTAATATTGTTTATCAATATTACAGAGGTATGGAGCAATGAAAATTGGAAACTGTACGGGAAAAAGATCATATGAAGATATACTAGCATTATTCTTTTTTTTTTCTTTTTCTTTTTTCACTGAGGAAACAAATATATCCAATTTAGTGTTCAGATATAAAAAAAAACATTAATAAACCAATTTAACCTACATTCACAACAGCAAGCTATACATATTTTTATATCTATCTATCTATCTATCAATATACATACATCATATATCAACATCAACAACAATAATGAAACAAATCTACAATAACAGCTGAATATCCAGGGGAAAAAAAAGAAAGAAAAGAGGAAAAAAAAATAAAAAAGGAAGCAATCTTTTCAACACATGCAAAACCTTCCTCTACTAAACAAACAGAATCATAACTACCATCAATGACAAAAACAACATCACGAGAGCACAACATCGAAATGGCAAAATTGTGAAGGAACGCACCGTACTTACCGGTGTGGTGGCCTCTCGTCATTGGGTCAGACAGGTGGGATTGGGTATGGAGAAGCTGCCCGTTCTGACCTAAGTAACCAGCACGCATTTCCAAGTCTGTAAACAAGGGGTTCACAGTTTTAAGTCATGTCAAAAATATTTAAAAATAGGGAAGGAAGCTGCTACAGATGAAGGGTTTAGAAGCACTGGCTACCCAAAATCTGGGGAAATTGGGGTAGATGGCAATAAAAGAAGAAAAAAAATGATATTCAATACATATGAACTTTTCTTCACTTTTCATCGCTAAAATATCGTAAGCACATTCATGACAATACTCAAAGCAAAGGAACCTTACTAAAGTATTATGTCTCTATTTATGCATACTACATAACTTTACATTGTGATTTGTCTTATAAAATAACTTTTTATATACCCCCCCCCCCCCACACACACACAACACACACACACAGACACAGACACGCGCGCACACGAAACTCTCAAGTTTTCGAGTACTTTGGTAAAATCTGCATAATTACACTACCTGTGGGGTATGGTCTTCTAGGATCACCCTGCTGCCAATTGTCTGGCGCAGAAACAGCGTACGTGGAAGAGATTCTGTGTGCGTATTTTATAAGTTCTTCACTGTTGACGGGTCTTTTGTTGGCTCTTGCAATACTCTGTAGCTTCTGTCTTGCCTGATATAATGCCACTGACTGTAGAAAGAAGAAGTATAAGAAAGACTGTCATGAACAAGTAGATGGCCAGAAATACTTTATACCAAGAAAGGCTTTCATATAATAAAAACATAGCTAAGGTACCTTGAAAATCATCAGAAATTTTAATACATGATTTACTATAATCATAACAAAGACTTATTCGGAAGCACCCAAGACTGGGGCATAATATCATGCTATCTGCCCTTTCCATCATTCAGCAGTAAAAAGAACTGAAGGCAACAACTTAAAACAAACTAAGATTTTAGTACAAACACATGGGTATATGCATTCAAAGGTAATATTCATGAACACTTTACTAGTATTTAATTTCAACTTGCTACAACTACTTTATGACACACCATATCATGAATAAACAACACAATAAATTCTTGCAAAGAAAAATACTTTTCTAAATCTTGTACAAAAAATACAACTTTCTATAATAAAGCGTTGATGTAAATATCATACTGAAGCAAAGCTCAGGTTATCAAGATTTCTTGATAATGAATATTACTATTGCTACAACTACTTTATGACACACCATATCATGAATATACAACAACACTATAAATTCTTGCTAAGAAAAATACTTTTCTAAATCTTGTACAAGAAATTCAACTTTTTATAATAAAGCTTTGATGTAAATATCATACTGAAGCATAGCTCAGGTTATCAAGATTTCTTGATTATGAATATTACTATATCACTTCATTTGTGATGTTTCGCAGAGCTGAAAAGACAATTTTCTCTTACTAGGGTATGATGGGCATCATGTAATTGCTTTTCTAGTTGCAGAATCATCTGGTCATGTCTGTCCACTTCTGCTTGTACTGTCTCCATGATTTCTGCAATCCTCGCTTGGTCACTGGCCAACTGTTGGATGATAATTTTTATTGACTACAGACTTAGCTTCTACTGTCAATGTCATTTACTGATACCAGCAGAATCATACCCATTTGCAGTATAAGAAGAAAGAAAGAAAAAAAGAAAATACTTTGGAACCAGTACAGTTCCTCAGATATAAATATAAATATAAATATTTTGTTCTTTTAACTATCTATTCATTCATCTGATGATTTTAAACAATCAAAGGAGGAACAAAAAACATATATCAAGGAAGAAAATGTACAACATAATTCTTAAAAAAGAGTAGTTTCCTTATTACCTTTATAGTTTCTTTCAGTTCTGTGTCTTTATGGATTAGGAGTTCGATGAGCTGGGCCTGATCATGAGCAGAGAGTCGCTGTGCTTTGGGAGCAATACTGTTTTCTAAAAGTTCCCTGAAAGTGAGAAATACTGAATAATATCAATGCTTTTTTGTATCTTCAGTATGCCTAATACATCTAAAAAATGTATAAATAAGCCTACCATATACATACATACACATAAAACAATTTACTAACACTCTTTCTTGCTTCACCTCTTCTGAGTTAGTTCCAATAATTCCTAAAATGCACTGATCATAACTTGGTATCCTTCACAATCATATATCTACAAATCTGATAAGGCAGCTATCACCATATTTTCTGCAAGAAACTAGCCATTTTCTTTTAAAGACAATAATGTCAAAATATATTTTCTAAGACACCACTCAAACAGTGATACTGATTTCAAAGTCAGAACAGAACAGAAATAAGAATGAGAATTTTTAAAAGAATGTCTCTTTGGCATTAAAAATGTTTGATAGCATCAATGAAAGAAAATGTATTCCTGGATAGCTCATGGGGCCTGCAGGATAATGGAAGGAAAAAATATATGGTTGTAATATACTATTTCTCTATACAAGAAAAAGTTCATCATTACCTGACAATTTTTTCATCAAATGAGGAGCCAGTTGAAATTATATTTTAACAGAATGTACATGACAGCCGCACTTTTTAGCTCAAAGAGTGTACAGGGCATTGTAAATGCACTCTTTCTATAAACTTTCTTTGGCTTAAGAGCACAATCTCATTT